TTTGGTGATATATCTAGTCCCTCAATCTTTCCTCTCTGGTCCTGCTTCCAGTGACCATAAAGGAAGAAACTATGGTCCATCGCAGTCTTCTGTCATGATATTCCTGCCATGGAACCAGCTGATCAAAGGCTTCTGAATCCATGAGCTAAATAATACTCTGTTTCTTTAATTTTCAGGAGTGAGGTATTTTGTTTATCAAAGGCAAAGAAGACTAATACAGAAAACTGGTACTGGGAGTGGGGCCACTGCTATGACTATAACTGACTATGTGTTTAGAAGACTTTGGAACTGATTTGAGTGATGAGTTCGGAAAGATTTGGAGATGTGGGATAGAGAAGCCCTACAGTGCTATGAGCAGAGTCTAATGGATGATTCTGGTTTCAGCTCAGAAGAGCAGAATGCAGATAGGAATGCAGACAATAGGGACCAGTTTCAAGAAGTTTCATGTAGGAACAAGACCCCAGTGGAAATTGGACTAAAGGCCATGTATGTTATTCTCTGGCCAATATATGTATATATTTTGCTTGTGTATGAACACTATTCAGAAGACTGAGATTAAGGGTGGTGGACTGATATGGAAGAGGAAATTTCAAAGCAGACTAATATTAATATTGGCCCCTTTACCTGGATTTATAGTGAGAATTGGGGTCAAAAAGCAGAGCAGAAAAAATTGAAAAACTTAAACTTGATTAAAAGTAGCCACATGTAAATTTGTGGCTAAAGAAGTTATGCTTACTGAAGAGATTAGTGCCATTAAAAGAAACCAGGTTATTACTAAAGGGAAAAGAAGGATGTCTGGAGGGTATCCACAATTCAGCAAGATCCCACTCATCATAGGATCAAGACTACAAAAGTTTTCAATTTTTCATTTGAGAAGACAATACCTGAGAACCTTGTTGGCAAAGAATCTTCTAGAGAATTGAATCCTCAGGATTAATTTCACTGCCCTCAGCCATTCAGGCACTCAAAGGCAGCTGCAGCCATGGTCCAAGGGGCCTGAGTACTGCCACCTTAAATATTTGATCTTGGCATTGTCAATGTGATGCAGGTTTTATTAGCAAGAAGAGTGGAAGAAGTGAGAGCCATGGAGTCTTCCACCTAGATTTCAGAACAAAGCCTGGGAGGCCAGGCAAGGAGCATCTGAGAGGGCAGTGCATGAAACTTTGAGAATGAAGCCAAAAGTTCAGTGGAGAGTCCAGGAAAACAGGGATATCAGTATAATGGAATATCTACTGAGGAAAGCTATCAGACTTGAGTGAGTATAGCCCCAAAGTGAGCAAGGCCATAGGAGTGGGGCCACCCATGTCCTTTGAAACTCACATTTTACTACTATGTATCCTGGATATTGGTCACAGACCTACAGCATGCAACGTTTTCCCTGTTCATTTTCAGCCTTGCTTTGTTTTGATTATTTTCTGTCCCTTATTCATCCTTTTTTGGAATAGGAATTTTACCTTGTGCCGTTTAACCCTAGAATTATGTAACTTGCTTTTGATTTTTAAAGAGACTCACAGGTAAAAGTTTGTCTTGTGGCTCAGAGAAGACTTTGGCTTGGACTTTTGAAAATGCTGAAACTTTTGAGACTTTTGCAAAAGGATTACTGTGCTCCCTATTGTATTACATATAGTTGTCACTTGTTAAGTGGAATTATTAACTTGTGTTTGTGTTTATTTAGAGATTAAATGTGTTTTCAGAAAGTGTTTCTGGCAGTCAAATTGACAAAAGGTAAAATATGGTGATTAAACTAATTGTGTGAACTTAATTTGTTTAGGAGCTACTTAGTGGATTGGTAAAGCACATTTCTCTGTGTGTGTGTGCGTGTGTGTGTGTGTGTGTGTGTGTGCGCGTAAGCTGTGCAGACATGACTATAGATATTATATATGGTCACTTGTCCCTTCCTTTCTGGCATTGTTCCCCTGCTCTGCTTCCTGGCTGCCATGACACAAGCAATTTTGCTCTACCATGCCCTTTCTACCATGGTGTTCCTGCCATGGAGCTAGCTAACGATGAACTGAATTCTCTGAAACCATGAGTAAAGTAAACCTCTCTTCTTTTGAATTGCAGGTGTGAGGTGTTTTGTTCAGCAACAGGTAATTTGACTAATACAGCATAATATGTCTTCGTATTTCTTTTTTTTTTTTGTAATATTGTATATCAAACTCAGGACCTTGTGGTTGTGAGGCGGGCACAATGCCACTGAGCTAAATCCCCAGACCTGTCTTCATATTTCTTGTTCACTTCATTTTTCTTGTTTACATACCTGTGACTTAGATTTCCTTACCCTAAAACTTTCAACATTTTTTCAATATTTTCCCTCCATTTACCACTTACATATACATATTATAATATGTTGTGTGGTCTGTATAGACACACATATACACACACAAATACACCTTTGACTACACATCTTCCCACATAGTGAATGACCAGACTCATGACACTGATAATTTGGAGGATTTGCCACAGTATTCTTTCAAGACCAAGCCTGAGAAGAAGTGCATTCACATATCTAAATGGTGCATTTGTGAACCATGCTCAGCTATTTTATCTTATTTCACATCTGAAAAGAGTACAGCATGGTGAGGTCAGCTGTCCAAGGTTATATATAGGAGCATTGACAGAGCTGGAATCTCAAACTCATTAATCTGATGGTTTTTCTGGCTTTTCTTTGGTGAGATAATCTTCTCTGCCCAAGTTATGTTATAATTTAATCTTACTAGCCTTTGGCCTAGGAGGGCCAGTAGGGACAGATCCTGGGGAGAACATGTCACTTTGGCAACATCTTGAGTAAAATGTAGTACTTGCTTCTCCTTTAAAAGGTTAGACAGGGGAAGGGTGGTGGCCTGGTTTTGCAGTCTTGAGGGTTTAGGGCAGTGATGGTGAACCTTTTCGAAGTTTCAGTGATAATAAACAGCCACCTGCAGCACACATGTCATTGGTTTGCCACCATTGGTTTAGGAGAATCTTAAGATTTAAGACATGGAGTCATCAGCACATATGTGCCTGTATCATTTGTTGGAGTCTCAGTCTTTCACATCCTGGTCTCTGAGCTTGCCAAAACAGACTTAATTTTGTTGGAACTTAACTGTTTCTGGAGCTTGGTTACTCTGACAATGAAGTCCTTTGCCTAGTCCTCCATTTTCTCTGTGCTTTTGCTACGAGAGATGGGAGTTCCTTGTTATAGTATCCAGAAGGTTCCCTGGCCTTTACACTTATATTTTGCTGCTCATCACACTACACTGAAGCTTGTGATATCCTTTTCAAAAGCACCAATAGTGCTTAACAATGGCCACTGAATTCCATTGTCCTTAGAGTTAATATTCTCTGCACATTTCTTAAATGCTGGTATAATCTGTATCAACTAATATATTTCCTTACAACAGTATGCCTTCCCAGTTTAACAGTAGTAAAAGCTTAATAATTACAGCACTTTTGTATGCCTAAAGACACTTGAGCTCTAACTTCCACGAGAAATGGGATCCTTATTGCTATCCAGATGGTTGGGTGATCCGTCTCCAAAATCTCATTTTAGAGTCAACTTGAATAGACTACTCAGCACAAACTGTTATAGTTCATGTTCTCTGGAAACCGAGATTAGTATGCAGGACATTTATTAGAACATGCTCATGAGTTTTATACCTGTAGAAGGAAACAAAAAGAAAGATTGGATAGAGGGAGAACTTGAACGGTGATATAATTCAACAAAGGCTTTAGCTGATGTCAGGAGAGTTTTGGAGTTGGGCTGGCCCTATAGAGTTGTCCAGTGTTGAGGATAGGGAAGTGGCCCCTTTTAGGAGCTACCACTCCTGTCCTTGATTAGTCAGTGAATGCAGGCACCATCCGGAAGAAGTCATGCCCTTGAATGAAGTATTTTGTTCAGCTGGGGCAGTCCCCACAGGGCTAACATGTATGGGTTATCTTACTCAGGCAGCTGGTAGAGCAGCCAAAAGAATGAATACTTCTCCTGAAGGAGGATCTGGGCAGCATATTTTAATATGTAATATATTTATATTTTAATACAGAAAATTCAATGGAAATGGATGAAAAATTATTTCCTTCTGAACTGTAGTTTCTTATATGGCTGTTAGCCTATATTTGAGGATGATAACCTCTAATTTCAAATTTAGTATAACACAAGAAATTAACACATTCAATAGTTTGTGTGTTTTATGCTCAAATCTATAAAAGAAGGCACAGTTGATTACATGGAGAAAAGACAATCTAGCTAGTTAGAGGTATTTGTTTAGAAATAGTTCAGAAATCATAGTGTTTAACTATGGTACCAACAAGACAAAATCAGTTGCTTATAACAGCCAAACATAGAAAAAAGGCATACAAAGATAAATTATTAGGTTATTTTTAACTTAGTAAAGAATCTTCAGTAGATATTTTTAAAGTTTTATGTTTTTCTTTCATTGATCATTGAAGTCCTTCCTCCAACTTCCTTGCAGCTTTAAATTATATTTCTCAAACCAGTAATCTGGTTCAGTCCTTGCCTGACTCCAGACCTTACAAGAATTTTACTTACCACCTGAATCAACTTCTCTTATAGCCAGCTTCTCTTGCCTGATTCCAATAGCTGCTGCTAGAAGGCCAGTGTCAACAAATTGGAATTGCTTAGAATGAATTGTACGACAGTTATTTACTGTAGCTACAGATGGTGAAAATGTTTGAAATTAATAACTCAAATTTGTTTACCAGAAATCCAAATGTTTACATTCAGATTTGTATAATTATTTTAATGTACCAGGGGTGACATTTGCCCTTCTTCCTTCCCATTTATGCACACTGTAGGGCAACTGGGTCCATTTTAACGACAGCCAAAAAATATGTTTCCCATTTTGCTGTATTTATTTTTAAAAAGAAAATGACTATGGTATGGGGGACAAGGGAGTTTGGTATATAGGAGGCTTGAATCTGTGATGAGTAAAATTAGGTTTGTATGTAGAATAGAACAGACGGTCGCACAGGTACTTCTTAGCTGAGCAAACATAAATCCCTGCTTTATTGTTTCATTTTATTTTTTCTTACACAGGTGAAGATTTTGTCAGTTCTCAAATGCATGATTACAGTAGTTAATAACCAGAGTATGATGCTTTATTAGATATTTTCCAATATCAAAGAATCCTTCAGTCATTCTTAGTCAAACTTAATTCTTTGGTTCCTGTAAGAAAGAGGCAGAGAATTAATAAAATTAAGAAACATAGAAGCCTGCAAGCTGTTTAATTTTCACAAAATTAAAAGGAATACACAACATTTAGATACTAGGCCGGTGTTTCAACCCTCTTATTTGTAGGATGGGCATCTTTTCAATGTGACTATGTAGAAACAAATTCTCAGTGTCTTAAGGAAGTTATGCCCATTACCAGGCATCTTCCAGGAGAGGTTTACAACCTCTTTTATTGTAGAAACCATTAACATGAGGATGGCCAAGTACTACCTCACTATTTCCCCAGAGGAACGTTTGAGGGGGTCTTGGCTGTTCTCTCTTAGCAACATTAGACAGCATGTTAGAAATTTTGCAACCATCAAATACTACTGCTATAACATGCAATTTTTAAAAATTAAATGTGATTTTTATTGGGGTAAAAATACAATAACATGTAATTTAACTTTCTCAGAAGAGTGCACACAGATTTTGATGTAACTTATTTGGGAATAATAGTAATTAATAGTCCCAATTATTCTTGTCTTTTTTCCTCAGATAAGAATAGTATCTGTAGTAGATATTAAGAGGACAGTTCATCTATACATACTATGGCTTTTTATTAAGAATCTGTTGAAATAGGAGCCATGGAAAATCTAGAGAGAAGTACACTGATATACTATTTGTCAAAAGTCAAGGTCAGCATCAGAGACTTTTACTGTATATGTGCAAATCTAAACCTCACAGCGCTTTATGCAAATGAAAACGTATATGTCTTATACATAATTTATGTGCGTTAATATATTGATATGGTTGGATAAAAAATTCTCTTGAGAAAAAAGGAACTCAAACTTTATAGTTAAGCATGATTTAATAGAAGGGTTTGTCTGGCAGTCTCAATCATGGCCTCATCTTGTAAGGGAATAATTGAGATCTCTTTCTGTCTTTGAGCTGGGCAGGTATTGCAGCTGAAATAGCGTACTACTGGGAAATAAAGACACTAACTTCATTGTGAAAGAGTTATAAGAAGGCCTCATTCAAAAAGTGTGACTCCCTGAAATTTCCAGGAGGGGAAGAGGAGACCATTTGGCAGATTTTAGCAATAAGAGAGAAAGGAGGGGAAAATGAGAAAATTCTTTAAAAATCAGCTTTGGGGGATTCCTGTGCTCTAAAAGAGAGACTATCCTAAGGTGGACACTGACTGATATTAAAATAACTTATTTTTTATGAAGGTCAAATATGGCTAGGTTACTTGTGCCATTAATTTGTGACCTGGTCACTAGCCTTAACTTCACCATAAGATAGATCTGCTAGTGATATCCTGGAGAAGGAAGCTGACAGCCTTCACCTGGCTCTCTTCTAGACCCTTTACTTGTTGGAAACTAGGAACTAAAGCCTGCCACTGATTGGAGTTTTATTTTTTTTTCCCCAGAGCGGGTGAGTGACCACAGTTTTCAGCACATTGGTTCGTAATCCATTGCATTCAAAGACTTGGCATGATCAGAGGGAGTTGAAATGTGCTGAAGATAGGTAACAAGAATCCACTGACCATGTGGATGGTCATGTGATAGAATCCCCACTGACATGTGCTGAACTGGTGCACTCTCTGACACTAATAGACTGCTGGGATCCCCAGATTTTTATACCACTATATTTAGGAAAATAGAAGTACCTGCTCCCATTTGTAACTGATACACTTTTTGTACAATTCTCATTTCAAATGCTAACTATGGAAGCCGCTAATGCTGCTCACATAAGATGGCTGAAGTCTGTAAAGTTTACCTTTGGAGCTTGGACTCTTAATTTGTCTCCTTTACATATAATTTTATGTACTTCATAAGGTAAATGTGTTAGGGCATAGGTCAAGATTTCTCATCTGTTTGGATTTGATAATTCTTTGATGTGTCTGTGAATGTGTGTTGAGGGGGGAGCTCTCCCGTGGGCTGTAAGGTATTTAGAAACATCTCTGGCCTATACTCACTAGATGCCAGTAGTGCTCTCTCCAAGGAGTCATGGAAACCAGCACTCTCTCTAGACACTGTCAAAGATCCCTTGGGAACAAAATCTTTCCCCAATGAGAACCACTGGTATAAGTAACAAATAACTTACCCACACATATAGCACACCATTTAGTTCAAGTATTTTATAACATTTAGACACTAACAAGATATCCATAAACAGTTTCATAAGGACTCATCTGCTTTTTTGTCTTTCTACTTTCAACTTCAACTCTAGGAGAGATCATAAGACAGAGATCAACTTAAAATCAGCTCTCTGCATGCCTGAGAGAATTGCTCTCAATTACTGTGGCTTTTGGTGTTACTTACATTTTACATGGAATGGTTTACTCAGTCTTACTCTAGTCTCCAGTCCTCTGTATACAATCAAAACGACCTTCTGGCTTTTACATCTCAGTTTTAACGAGCTTTTATTTATCCTCAGGCTCTCCTTATCAATAGCCATGCAAAAGGACTTCCACTGTGTGGCTGGAAGACTTAATGCATCACACTTGCTAATGGCTTCTGGTCCATCAGTATATTATTATCCCAATTACCACCAGTGCAAGTGCTAATGACAGGACCACTGCCAACTACTTGGGCCTGCTTGGCTCCATTTATCTGATCTTTGACCTAGCAGTGAGGATCCCTCTCCCAAACTCCAGCAAACTTTCCCAGACTATTTCTACTGCCAATTGTCATGAGTTGGGTGTTCTGGAAGACAATGCTGAGATAGAATGTGGAGTAAAAGATTTTATTAGGAATTAGCAGTAATGAAGGTAAGGGAGAAGGGGTACAACTGTACAATGTGAGAGGGAACTGTGGTGGGGGCTCCTCAAAGCCAGGAAACCCTGGGCGAGGCCAGAATGAACACTGCTCCTTTGAATTGAGCTTGGTCAGGCCTAAGTTCTGGGACATCTTACTCCCTGCTCAGTGTCCTCATGCACGAGTATGGGAAAGGTCACAGTTTCCTGTGAGTCAGCTCTCTGCCTCCTAATGGCCCTGAAGGAGCTGAGCACTGAGTATTGTTGACCACATTCACCACAGTCAGCAGAAGTCCTTCCTTAAAGGGGATTGTGACTGGGAATCTCCAGCCTAGCACATTGAAGTGTATTCTGTTTTACACAAGAAAACCCAAGACCACATTGGCCGTCATTATTAAAACCTACTTGTTTTTATTCTACTTTGTTTTTCAGAATCTGTGAATAGTGATTTAAATACTGAAAGCAGAAATGATTGAAATAAAGAACATCTCTGGCCAATGCACCAGCATACCACCAGCTTCTCTTAGCAAGTACATCCTTTCTCATGGGAAGTTAGTTTCTTTCTTATTCCCCTTTTGTGTATTGGCTTTTGGTCCCCCCACCCCCTTTTTTATCATTTTTTGGTTCTATGGCAATTTGGCTAATTCATTTTTATAACTCATCCTCATTTTAAAAACAAGTCTTTTAAATAAAATCAATTTATGGCCACTGGTTCTTTTAGTCTACCTCACCTCATATCAGTCATCCACCCAGATCACCTACTTCCCTGTCGGTGCTGACTTATTGTGGATAGCTATTCTCTTTGGCTGAGAGTGACTGATTTTCAGATTGGCTTAGCCATATCATGGCTCCATTTCTTCTCTAACATGTCACATTTTCTGATAATTTCCCCATGCATATTATTCTCAAAATAAGTTTGGAAAAGAAATGGAGGCCTCCTAGCCAGGAGTGGTTTGGTGAGGAGCAGAGCCTTGGGGAGCCATCAGCGCTGCCCCACAACCACCCACGGCTGGGGCCTCCAGACTGCGCCTGTGGCCTCCAGAGTGTGCCTGTACCTAGATCCACACTGCTGAGGCACAGGGGCTCATAAAGGCCATTGTCCTGAGCTCCAGAAGATAAAGCAGAAGTAAACAACAGAAAGAAGATCTCTCTCAAGCACTGTATCTCCTCCATTCATATAAGGCGTTCTCACTGGAAGTATGGAGTACATGTCTTTAATCCGTTGAGAAGGTTCTGTTCTACTTCTAGTCTCCTGATAGCTTTTACCACGAACAGCTGTAGAATTTAGTCCAATA